TGTCGCGCTCAGGCAGTGATGCAAGTGATGGGGAGTAGCTGTAAATACAGAAGAAGCTTCCCTCGCTTTCCCGCTGCTCACCTCCTACTATGCGCCCCTGGTTCCTCAGTTTCATGGAAGACAATTTTTCCACTGACAGGGGTGTCAGTGGAACTCTGTGGCCTGGTCCCTAACAGGCCTCAGACCTGTGCTATTCCACAGCCCTGGGGTTGGGAACCACTGGTCTAGGGTATAAACCCATTTTTTTTCTCTCAAAGGACTTGTACAACAGGGTTAAGGAGGCAACATCAGCATGGATGAGATAATTGTGGGGAAATCTCAGGATCTTAGTTCCGAAAGGATCTAGACTCACATCCCCAATAGGTGGTCTTCCATAACACAGAATGTCAGCGCCGGTTAAAACGAATGTGTTGCCAGAGCTCAGCAGCCAATACGTGGAGCACGCTGGCATAGGGGCTGCATGTGTGCTGAGATCTTGGCCCTTCATCCCACAGGGTCAGTTTTATCTGACTTTACCTCAAACTGCTTTGGACATTTTTATCATTTTTTATGTATGCCTTATTGTGAAAAAATGTGGAGAAGTTGCTTCTCGTTGTCACAGTTGTGATTGACTTTAGAAGACACCAGCTAAGATAGCATGATTTGAATGTGAATGTTAGACTAAATTACGCCACCCTAAGTGGTGTCTGTTTACCCAGTAGGGAATGTGCAGCCCTGGGGTGGTTGCCAGCACCAGGAAATTCACATCTCAGAGGTGTCTCATTACAAACTCATCATCTTTCCATCTCAGTATCAGAGGCTGTAAGTATTAGCATAATGAATGTCAAAAATTAATTTTCATTGGTGAAGTTAGTGGCATTCAAGACCCTTGGATTGCCTAAAATATTTTAGGGATGCTTCCTAGTCTTGCATAACCTGGACAGAAGAATCTGGCAAGGCCTGTAGCCTGTACTCTGAAGTTCAGAGCTTTACACTGAAGGGTCCTGCATCCCTAATGAACAGGGGAATTCCTGGTTACTGGCTGACTACATGGAGTACTGCCTGTGGAATGCCATTTTGCCTAATTAAAACTTTTAGGCAAGATGTAATCAGATTACTTGAAGAACAGAGAGTTTGGGACCTCATGTAAACTGTTTTATGCTTACTTGCTAAAAAATATTTGTTTAATAAAGATCTGTCTATATGAGAGAATTTAGCCTAAGACTTGCTTTCTTTGAACAAGATATTAAGGTTGTAGAGTAGTTTACTTTTATCCCATCCCTAACCTTTTGTTGGCTTAGTGCTACCTCCCAAAAAGAATCTGCAAGTAGATGAGTCAATTTCTTAAAATGAATCTCTCTCTCTCCATATATATGTATATATACACACACACACAAACACACGCACACATATACAAATGACCCTTGAACAACACAGGTTAGGGGTGCTGCCCCCCTGAGGAGTTGAAAATTTGCATATAACTTTTGACTCCCCCAAAACTTAACTACTAATAGCTTACTGTTGACGGAGTCCTTACAGTAACAAAGCAGTCAATGAACACATATTTTGTATGTCAGGTGTATTACATACTGTATTCTTACAATAAAGTAAGCTAGAAAAAAGAAACGTTATTAAGAAAATCATAAGGAAGAGAAAATATATTTACTATTCATTAAGTGGAAGTGGATCATCATAAAGATCTTCATCCTTGTCATCTTCACACTGAGTAGGCTGAGGAGGGGTTGGTCTTGCTGTCTCATGGGTGGCAGAGGTAGAAGAAAATCCACATATAAGTGAACCTGGGCTGTTCAAACTTGTGTTGTTAAAGAGTCAACTGTGCACACACACAGCCCTACACATACAGACACACATCCTATTGGTTCTGTTTCTCTGAAGAACACTGACTAATACACTATTTCACCTGGTGGTTGTGAGAATTAATGAGCTAATGTATTAATATACGGCCATTTGTAAATTTTAAAGACACCATAAAACATAAGGATGGTTGTCTTCCTAGTATAGGTGATGTGTAATGTACTTTGCTGAGGTTTTATTGACATACAAATTAATATATACAAATGTAGTCATAGAGCCTAAATTATAAATAAATAGATACAAAATATCACAGGAGATGCTACAAGACAGGAACAAGTAGGGAGAGGAGCTTCCTAGTCTTGTGTTCTGGACTGATAACAGCATCTGTTGCCAAAGAGCATAAACTCCACGTGGACAGGAAACCATGGCTTGGTTGGCTTAGTTCAATTTACATACCTAGCACATAGAGTAAGTCTTTGCATGTGGTTATTGCCCAGTTAACTGCTGAAGAATTAGTGAATTTTATTTATGTTATCACCCCAAAATTACATTTTTTGTGAGTGACTGGGTGAAAAGATTTAAATACCTAAGAGTTAACATAAAGCACTTTAGTATACAGCATGGAGGGTTAGAAAATATGTATATGTTGAAGCTGGTCATGTCTTCAGAAATGTCAAATGTCAAATAATCATAGTCTGTATGCTAAATATGAGAGTTAAAAACTTAGCCTGGCTGGGGAAAGGCCAAAGCCATGAACTCAAAATACTTCCATGACTAAATACAAAGCCAGACCTCACTCTCTAGAGCTCATGGCTTTGCCTCCTTGGACTTTTGCTGAACTTTGCATAATAGCACAGTGCAAATATAGCAGGCAGGAAAAATCAGGGCCACTGCACTGAATGAATACTTTAAAACTCCAAGACAGTAACTGGAATGCTATTTAGAAGCATAGCAAACACTACACAGTGTCATTTGTCAACTCAAATCTCTAGATGACATTTCTTTTAGCAGTCAGTGGCCGATCTGTACTATATTAGCATGCTTCACAACTTTATGGATTGTGGTTTACGTGGGCAGATATTTTGAGACTTGGCTGTGGAAGAATATGGCTGCTTTCAAAACATTCTAGGCAAAAAGCTTCTGTCTGAGAAAGAAGACCAGACTTCTAGACTTGTTGGTATTTTGGGAAGTATGTCATCATAATGATATTTCCAGGCTTTTCTGGATATGGCCAGTAAGGGAGAGACTATCAAAATAGCCTGCCTTAAATTAAAACAACAGTGAGATATTATTTTCCACTTACACATTTGTGAAAAAAAAAATTTTAAGTAATACCTAGTATTACTGAAAATATACCCTTACACTGATGATTGGAGGGCCATTTGGCCAAAAAAAAAAAAAAAAAACTTTAGAAATGCATAATCCTTGACTCCATAATTCCACCTCTAAGAATTTATGCCAAGAAAATAATACTATATCTGTGCAAAAGATCTCTCCATTACTATAGATTCAACACCATGTTAATTATAATAGTAAAAAAATTAGAAATATATAAAATGTCTAACAATAGGGAATTGCCTGAAGGAATTTTGCTATATCTATATGAAGGAACAGTATGCAACTGTTAAACACAAGGTTGTAGAAGAATAAACAAATGGAATTTTTTTTATCCTCTATTCTTAAATTAAAAAGCAGTTCACAAACACTATGTATAGTTTTTGTTTAAAAATCAAGCAAAAGAAGAATCCATACATGTGCATAGAAGAAAAGGCTAGAAGACTATACACCAAAATGTTAATAGCAACTATCTTTGGGTACTAGGGTTATAGGTGATTTTTGCTACCTCCTATATGCTCCTCTCACCACATTTTCATATAAAAATATTCTATCAGCCATCAGGGAGAGGAGAGGTAGCTTTAAACACTTTAAACAAAATGAACAGCAGACAAAAACCACCTATGAACTAGGATTGTCTACTAATAGAGAAGAGCATTTTACAGTGCTATGTCTTAACCCTGGCACATTCTAGGACTTTACATTCTAATGTAGTTGGTTCAAAGTAATTTATTTGAGCCCTAATGGTACTACATGGTCTGAAAAGTTTACATTGCTTTCATTTAATATGAAGTATTTTCTATCCACACTATGCTAAGCCTTGTACAGCATGAAGTCACTTTGTACAGCTCCAGGCACTGATGTAGGGAGGTAGCCTGATACAGTCACACAAATGATAGCACGCAGATGTCACTTTGGAAATGAAGGGTTTTGGTTCTTTAGCTAAGTACTTTCCATGCCACTGGAACCTAAAACTGAGTCTACAGAAAAATAGTGGAAAAAATAGAAAATAAGAGCTCATAGCCTAGACCCACAGAAAAACAGATCCATCATAGGTTGTTGAGGAACCGTTAGATAGGAGTGTCTGGTAAACCCTTAACCTCTGGGGATGATGATGTCATCCATGAGAGCACCCAGCCTTCTCCACAAGAGTCTTTTGCTGTCCCTGACAGAGTGGGTTGGAGTGATCATCTTGTCTATTCATTTCAACATCTGCCACTAATTGATACTCTGGCTGGGGAGTGGATTTGAAAATTTAAGAAGACTGATGGTGGAAATGGCTGTGAGGTAGACAGTTCAGTCTGAATCAGTGCCCATCAAGTGAAATGTGACACTTCTTTCTGTCTGACTCCAGCTGTTCCTGGACCATAAAAGGGAATAAGTCAAGAATAAATCTATTTTTCCCACAATGAATGAGCCAGAGATGCAGACAAAATGAAGCTTAAGCAAAGTCCAAAATGTCCCACCAGTGGGGACAGCTCCAGGCTAACTTAAAGCTACTCTCAGCTGCATTCCCCCTGTAGCTGACTCAGCCTTGCCTGGATGGGTGTTTTGCATTACACACGATCTAGCATACTCTAAAATACTGAATGTGGCTAGAAGTTTAAGCACGTAAGTTTCAGAATGCCAACTCCAAGGAATATGAATTCTTGATAGCCTTCCATAGTCCTTTAAAAATCAATAATGAATCCAAGTTAACCCACCTTTATTGCATCACTATTATATCTATTCTCAGAATTTAAAAATAGAAGATTGCAAAAGCATTTCACAACCAGAGCCTCCCCAGGTGCTTCACCAGCCCATCATTTTTCTGAAAATGCAAATGGACAGAAGGTCACAGAACATGAGACCCATGAGCCCGACTGACTCACCTTGCTGTGGCTGGTCCTCCTGCAGCTTCAGCTCACACGTGCGCACACTGAACAGGTGGCTGCTGCCTTTTCTTTGTGTGGTAGACATGGTACTAGCAGTATGGCTGTGACTCGAGGCACTTTCTTCCCTTGGCCAGTCACCTTAAATTGTCTTCACGAGACACTTAGAAACACATAGGTAGGTGCAGATAGATCCTATCCTTGAGTGTAAGCATGTACTCCTCTAAAGAACTTCCAAGTTTTTCTTAGTCATGATTCTTAAAATAAATAATTTTCTAAATATAAAGATGCCAATTCATTTGGCTAAAAACATGACTTAATTCTTTCATTTCAAAGCAAATTGAAACTTTTTCCCTGTATAGTATAAAATCCTACAAATTAACTATTTCTAACTGATTACAGTTTTGGCAATTTTTGATTCTGTCTGTTGACATGAAATCTAATGCCTCCAGTATTAGAGAGGACTGCTAGAGTAACACATACACAAAGAAAAAAAGTGCTGCTGAGTTAAATCAAGTGATTTCTAAGCCTGCTCTGAGTTACCGTCAGTGACAGCTGAAAGTGTACAGTTCTTAAGGGAGGCTGGGAAGAGGAGGAGCAAAGTGGGCAGGGTAATTAGCATAAAGAGGCAGGCAAGAAATGGCATTGGAGTTGCTCTGAATAATAGTGACCAAAGCAGGGATTCTAAAGATACCCTGCTGTTACGTTACTGTAATTACATATCTGACTTTTGCTACTTTGCCTGTAATTAAAATAAAAGCTGAAGGAGGGGTTTATAGTGCAGGGACATTCATTTGTACATGCAAAATCTGAAAGGTAGAACCGTAACTGCTAATGAGTTCATGGAAATGTACTGCCAGAACTTTCGATTTCTGTAAACACCTCTGAGTCCTCAGAAGGGAGCAGTTATAGGGCAGCCTGCCTGCCAAGGCAACTATTTGAAGTGCTGGAAGGAAAATAAACACACAAAACATTTATCTCTGTTTCCTTCTTAGATTCTCTATTGCTATTTCTAGGTCATAGGGCAAGGCTATTTCCATTTTTTCTTGTGCTTGCTATTTCATTACTATTTAAAAATATAACCCCCAAACACCTTTTATTTAACTTGGGAGGCTGCTACAACTGAAGCCATAATGAATGCTGCCCTTCAAGAGTCTTTGCAGATTCAGAAAGGAGGTGGTAGGCAGAACTAAGGAGTAAGGCAGGGCTGGTTAGCCTCAAAGCCTGGACCCTGCAGTTTCCTATGCATATTTGGAAATTGATAAACTTGAAACTCCTGAATAAGAAATTTACCTCCTAGCCATATCTAGGTGGGTGCCCTCATTTTACTTTGAGACAATTAACAATCACCAAGCACACTCTCATTTATGAAAACCCTTATGAAATGTGTGATTACTCTTTTAAAATAATTCCTATGATTTATTAAAATGTTTTTATTGTTTATAACCTATCTTCTGCAGTTTTAGGTCCACCACAGTGTAACAGGTTATAGAAGTGCTTTGTTACTTTGAAAGAGAGTCCAGGCGAGGTGTGGTGGCTCACGCCTGTAATCCCAGCCTTTGGAAGGCTGAGGCAGGAGTTTGAGATCAGCTGTAGTAACATAGCAAGATCTTGTCTCTACAAAAAAAATTTTTAAAAATTAATCAGGCATAGTGGTGCATGGCTGTAGTCCTAGCTACATAGGAGGCTGAGGCATGAGGGTCACCTGAGTTGAGGAGTTTCAGGCTGCAGTGAGCTATGATGATGCCACTGCACTCCAGCTTGAGTGACAGAGCCAGATCCCATCTCCTCTAAAATAAAAAATAAGAGAGAGAATCCTGTTGTTAGAGAATTATAAATCATAGTTTCTGCTTTAAATGGTTGGCATTCATCTCATCCTTCATAAAGACCAAAGGTGAAACGCCAAGGTGTTTTTTCCTAAATAACATAAAGCTATCACTATTTTATCAAGTTGTAGACCTCAATAATAAGCACTTATTATATAGGCAAATTAAATAACCCACAAAACTGTTACGCCAACTCTTGAGGGAAATCATTTTTCATAAAGTTTTATAATGAAAAAATTTAAAAATATATGAATAAGTACAAAGAATAGCATAAAATCTCTGTGTACCCATCACTTAGATTCAGTAGTTATCAGCTCATGGACAATCTTGTTTCAGATCTACGTGTTTCATCACAGCCACTCTCCTTTGTGCCACTGGCTTTGAAGCATCCCAGATATGACTGCATTCGTAAATATTAGAGCATGTATTTCTAACTAAAATGCAAGGATTTTTAAAAAACATAGACATAATGAGATTGTCATGCTTGTAACAATTAAACATGACTCCTTAATGTAATTAAGTGCCCATGCAGTGTTCCTATTTGCCTGATTGTCTCATAATTTTTTTGTTTTTTACGTTTTTTTTTTCAAATTGGGATCCAAAAGTCCACACATTATATTTGATTGATACATTGCTTAAGTCTTTTTCAATCTATAGGTTCATTTCAAAGAGAAAATGTTGTTTGGTGGTTAACATTTACATTTACCTTAATTTGTGTCTGATTTTTCAAGGAAGCCCCCTAGATGCCTTTATTTTTCTTACTCACACATGTAAAGATGCGGGGGGGGGGGGAGAGGAAAAGGAATGGTCAACAGACCTGAGAAGCTAAAACACCCAACTTTCTCTCCATGTCACTCCCATCTGTGTACTGTGCAACCTTAAGCCGGGCACTTAATATCTCTAGGTTTGTGCCTTCATTCGTCAAATGAAACAAATGCTTGGCAATGAAAAAAGCAATGAAAAAAATTATTCAACACTCGTTCTGTGAATATAAAAGCTTGGGAAAGGAAGGAGTATCTTGTTTTGTCATCAGTTACAGTCTGAGAAGAAAGAAACACATTTAAAACTAAAAATCTGAGTAGGATTTGAAGGTGTATTTGAAAACCCAGACCTTCGGTTCTCAAATTTAGCTAAGTACCATAATTACCCTGGCAATGTTGTAAAGATACGGATTCCTGAGTCCCAATTGCACAGTTTGAGATCTGGGGTGGAGTGTGGAATCTGTATATTTTTAAAAGTCCTCTGGTCCAAGAAAACAAGCATAACCTGCTTAAACAGAGCTTGTGTGCTTCATTATTTCATTCGTTACATTTGCCCTAAGGGCTGGTGAAACCAAACAAGCACTCCTTAAACACAGTGATTCCAAGTGCCACAGTGTTTGGGGGCAGTGGTTCCTCTTCTGTGCATCATCGAGACCGTCCTGGGCAGTGGGTCTGTGATGGATTACTGTGTCAAGGGGACTCCTGAGTTCTTCCACTGCATGTTGAGTTCCACTTCTGTTCTTGGAGGGTCTATGGTTTGACTTACCAGTTTCCACTGGAAATAAGCCAGTATAGCTGAAAGCAATGCTCTAGGAGTGTGTAAAATAACACCAGATGTATCAGCGGGAGTGGGATGGGGGCTACTTTGCTTTCCCTCCTCCTTCAGAAAATGTTTCAGAAACATCATCAAGCTAATTCACAATGAGCATATTATACTTTACTTTTTGTTTGTAAATAAAAGTAAGAAATCAGAATACAGAAGTCTGGCTGGGTCAAGAAACAGGTGAATAATCTTTGGCATTTTTACTTGCAATTGATTAAGAATGAATTCGAAGCAGCTTCATTAATTCCCTGTAACTTCCCCAAAAGGATACTGATAGTTTCCCTCAATCGGGGTTCTTCCTTCTCTACCATATCCTCTCTGCTTAAGTTATGTTGTTGTACTCCCAAAAGTATAGAGTGGAATGGCGCATCACAGATAAACAGTCAGTGATATCAGCTGGCACTTTGGGGATATACTTGAAAAACTGATATTTTATGATTAGAATTCATAGATCAGAAAGCACAGTATTTGGCTGAATCATCTAAATGGTATTAAATTTATAGGAGGGTTTTCTTTTCTCAGTTGAACCATATGCAAAAAGCAGGAACATGTGCATTTTAAATTAGTCTACAAGTGAGTTACTTGTTTAATTAACAGACTGCCTTGTTTCAAAAGCATTTGTGATATCTAGTTTACAAGTATATCTGTTCTTTGAAGGTCTTTGGACTACTTTGAATAACAGGTATTATGTAAATAAAAAGCAGTAGTAAGGCATTTATCACTTTCATCCTCAAAGAATAAGATAAAAGATCCCTAATAGAATATAAACATGAAAACTGTGACCTCTGGGCTGAGCCTCACTATGACCCCAGGAATTATTAAATGATCATTGTAGTCGAAGGCTTAGGAACTAGTGTTAAGACTTTAAATAACAGATCCCTTGCTCCTTTATGTCAATCAGCATTAGATTTTTTTCCAGATCACTCTTCCTCAATGCATCAACCAAAGACATTGTGCATGAGAAATGTTTTGAGTTTCACAGGGTTTTATGTAACACATATATGGTAAAGCCCCCATAGAGGTAGGCTTTTGTGGCTGTCCAGAGAGTCATGTTACTACTTGAATTCACTGCATGTTCTTAGCTCATAGTGTTTCCCAGGTGGCACAATTGGCTGAATTCCCATAATGGCCATCCGTAAAAGCATAGGAGACACAAATGGTTGTATTAGAGACTGTTTTGCTTGCATACTTGCTCTTGTCCATGCCTTCAGGATGCTACACTGGCATAGCACCAAGTCGCTTACTTATCAAAGGTGCTCACTGCCCCGAAATTGCTACCACCGATCCATTGAGTGCTAACATTTGGGTCTTGGTTATCAGAGACAGTGCCTCCCCGCACAAACATTGCATTGGTAGTTAAACTAATTTTGGCCCTTTTGCTGATGAATTTCAGATTTGGCTGCTGCAGGGCTCCCTCTGGAGGTGAGCAGAGTCCAAGATCAGTTCGTAAGATAGCCTGGCCACAGCACAACGTAAACTTGAGTCTTTTTATCCACCACCCACAAGAGTGGGGTCCTCTATCTGTGAGCTCAGGAGATGATTATCTATCTGTATCTGAGGTTGTGGGAAAGTTACCTGATAATGCAACTATGGGTGAAATTTGATCAGTGCCGTGTACTTGTATCTAACCTCATCCAGCTTTAAATTTCTCTATCTTTATTGAAGTCTTTTAGCCAAAGTGAAAACAAAACGAAATATAATCAAAGGTCAGACAAATGCCAAGTTTTATTTTGTTTTAGTGCAAGGAAACCCAGAGTAAGGTGGTTCTGGTTCCATAATTTCCACAATCTGAGTAGGATTAAAGGATCCCACAGAATCTGAATTCCATCTAGAAGTGTTTCACTCATTTTCTTTTATATTAATTGGATATTAAAAATGAAATTATTCTATATCTGGGATTTGCTTCAAAATAATATGGGAGAGGGAGATTTGAAGGGTATAAATGAAATAAGATTGGCAATAAATAATTTTTAAAGCCAAGTCGTGGGTACATGGGGATACATTATGTTTTCGTGTCTACTTTTGTATATTCTAAAAACTTTTATGATAAAGAGCTTTAAAACATAACTAAATGAATCTAATTGAAAGGTATGGGCAATGCGCCAGATTTATTAGAGTATGTACAGAAACTCTTCAAATTTCTTTCCCTA